GTACCACGTTTACCTCGCTGCATCGATCAAAATCTTTTTTAATTAAATCCACTTGTGATGTTCATGAACACAGAAAAATCGCTTAACTACGATGATTTAAAGGCTTGTGTAAAAATACGGAACAACAGCGCATTTTACAAGTGACTGGAAGCTCTGACGTCTCAACTCCGCTATAATTGAAGCTAAACAAAATAGCCAAATTGTATCAAATTCCAGAGGCTCTCGAGTCTTCAAATCGCGGTCAGTTACAAGTTTTATTGTGGATATGGGTACTTCAAACTTCCATTTTTTTAACCATATTAGTCACTGAATCCAGTTAGGTGCCACTTTTGAGAAATTTAAAGTCGAATTTGATATGCGTACAAAGCCGTATTTACACCCGGTGCTTGTTATCGCTAAAGTTTGCCATAATCTTTCTGTAAAAGTATCATAAAACAAGGTAAGTTTCCAAAGTAGAATAATTTTCACGTTGGTGGGTGAAAAAATCATAAAATTTGGTTGAATACTTTTAAAATTATATGTATTTGAATTCGGCTAATTTTTATTCCTGATTTAGGCAGAGGATTTTCTGCCCAACGGCGCGGGCCGAAAAGTCGCTGAAATTTTAAAAATTAATAAAATTTCAAAATTCCAAATAGTGTTTGTTTGTTCTTGGGGTAAATACATTTCATTGTGAAAGTAACGAAGAATTTCATTTTATGAGCCGAGAGTCATTGGTCGGTTCTTAGAGAGACAGCCTCTTAATACGTCAAATTTGACCAATCGACTTGTAGGATTTGTTATAGGCATGCACTTGTGCAAAAATACCAAGATACAATGAATACAATAAAATAATAAACATAAAATACAATCTCGTGGAGAATTTGCTCCCAGGGTGAAACTGTTTTGAAAATCTGTTTATATAGTGTGCCATTTTCAGCATTTTGGTGAGGGAAATTTTATCATTTTGGTGATTTTTAAACCGTCATTTAGCAACTAAGAGGTTTACTTAAAATAAGCACAAACTAATTGAAAACATTCACTGTAAGACAATGCAAGCGAAATATAGTGATAATATATTGCACATGCTTTGTACTGGTGACAATGATTCTAACTGGGTTGTAATTATTTCGCGTTTTTAGTATATAGGTGTCTTGATCTATTAGAAAGCGAAAAACTGTTGGTCCTTTACATACGTTTTTTTAAATGCGGTATTATATGCTGGAAGAATCGCTAGCAATTAATTAGATAGATTAAAAAATGAAAAGTCAGTTTAAATCAACCAGAAACCGCTGAAAAAAGGCTAATAAAAATTATATACTGTATGATATATTAATTACATAACGATGTCGCATCTTACACCATGCATGATCTATCAAGGTGTGATGGTCGCGGGTTTTTGTCTGAGTTAAATTAATTTGTGCATGGTCACGGGGATTGAGCTCATTGCATTTTCGTATAAAGAAGTAACTGTCCTATAGGAATAACTGAGATGAAACGTGCAACCACGATGAAAATATTTAATGAAGTTGAGATAAAGTATTTGTACACGCGGAAGTGCAGTTCAACATCAAACAAAGGTCTTCTATTTCGAGGCTTTGAAGTTTGCCGCGTTTCCTGACCATCATATCTTAATTGGCTATGGTTGCACAAACGTATATAACATATTATACTGATACCATGCCTTTAAAGAACGAAAATATCATCCCCAAACCACTTAAAATTAACTTACAATCAAAGTGTATGTTTCTCAGATAATGACCTCTTCATTTTAAAATACTAACCCTGTTCATAAATACTTCTTGAAAGTCGGTGTCGTGGTAGTGCGCGCATATTGTGTCAATGTTCTCATCTTCCTGCTTGAGAAGTTTCACAGTAACTCTTACGAGGAAGTCCTTAAGTTGATGAATACCTTAGAAATTAATGCATTATAAAATTATTCATTTTCTATTTCAATATATATGCATGCAACTCGTGCAGCTATTTATTAAATTGAGGTTATCATAATTAACTGCAACTTATCGCTACAATCAAAAACGCGAATAGATAGATGGGTGTATCTAATTTTAACATTTTAATATTTTAAGTTGTTAAATAGCCTATTTATAATTAGCCTCCTGCGCAGAAGTTGTTAGTGGCCGAGGCCTCACCTAACGTCTGCTCACATTCGCTATACATTTGACTTCCCGGCAATTAGCCAATCACAATCATGTACACGATAATTGGAACATCGACCTTCACTGACCTTCACACGCATGGGCTATTTTATATATATCAACAAGTCTGTAGCATTTTTAAATTTGAAAGTTTTAATCCGCATCAGAAAAAGGCTTTTCATTCCGTTGTAAACGAGAAGAAGGATGTTTTCGTCAATCTCACAACTGGCGCAGGAAATTGCTTATTTATCAGGCAACTAGTTACCTAAGCTATTCGATGTAATATTTGGATTTGACTATTCAAACAAATTGTAAAACATTGTAAACATTTAGTATTAAATCGTTTCATAATTTTGCCATTGATAAATTCAATGCGAAATCAAGTAACAAAACCACACAATCTAGGAGTCAGTGCTGTGTCATTATAAGGTGGAATGGAGAGCGATGAAGGAGCGAAGGCATTGGAATAGAAGTAGGGAAATATTCTGTATTATATGGCACAGGCAGAGTCATTGTTGAAGACCGAACGCGCGATGGAGACGAATGCTTAATTAACAACAAAGTATATAACAAAATGCATGGTTTGTGCTTTGGGTATTAATATATGAAGCTGATATGATTAAAGAATGGTATGTATTATAATGAATTCTAAAAATTTGTTCGCTTTTGTAATACCATGATGACCTCGGGTTCTTTTGTTCTCGCCGGGTGGTTTAATCATGATATTCCTGGCTTAGCGGGGAGATATCTAATTCTCCCGGCAAAGCCGGACAGATTTATAATTTCTCTCTGATTAAAAGTCATGAGCCAAAATTCAAAGACAAGACAAAGAGTTTTCTAATAGCTTTTACAAAACAAACAAAATAATTACACTACAATGTTGATGACAGTAAGATAAAGTGTTAATTACTCGATTTATTAATATTCACTTTTTCACTAAACATTTCGGTGATCGCTAGATAGTATACTTCAAAATAAGGTTTCCGTTTTTATAACGTAGAAAAAACTATCCTAACGCAAAACTAAACCCTAACCCTAATACTAACCCTCACCCTAACCTAACCCTAACCTAAACCCTAACCTAACCCTAACTTATTTTAATTATTTTAAAAATTGATATAAAAACGGAAACCTTATTTTGAAGTATACTATCTAGCAATTGCCTAAACATTTCACACAACTATATTATAAAGATAGTAATTTATTTACTCATATTAATGTTGATGTTCACAATTCCACAATTAGCTCCTTGTAGTAGTCCGCTCAAATCTAGTGTCGAACTTGCACGTTGTTCATAATCTATTATACATGCATTCGCGAGAGTTTCATCGTCAATATTAGCCCGCGTGCAGGCCCAAGGGAACTGATAGTGGGCCTGCAAGCAAGGCCCGGTATTTTGTAAAACGCCTCTTTTCATAACACGCCCCCATTAGCGCGTCAATTGTCAAAAAAGAACCAATGAAAGCACCCAAATATTAACAAACAAACTCGCATTAAAATGTTGCGGGGTTTTCTCTGCTTATTCAGAACATAAACAATGTGTATAAAACGGCAGCGTTTTAACTCCAAAAAAGCAAGCAACGCAATCAGTAATTTCCAAATTTGCAAGTGCTCATTTTCAACTAAAATCGGAACAGGCAAATTAGGACGAATTCCAACAGAAAACCAGTCTCAAACTTCAAATCGTGAGGGAAGTCGTGCGACCACATTAGCATTCATATTATGTGTGCTTCGCTGTCGCCATTGGCATTGTTATAAATAAATTGTGTCACTTATCAGATCGTGTGTGCAATTCTTCTTGGCGGTGGAAAGTACGAAATATATTTCAGTTATTTCATTTGGTAAAGAACTCTACAAAAGAAGAGAGCGTTCAGAGCGTCCAGATCGTTTCGTTTCAAACGGCAATTTAATACCGTCTTCTGTTTCGCTCTCTCAGCGAAACGCAGTGTAAATCGCAAAGTGTTTCGAAAGACTTACACGCAACTGCATCTCAACATCAACCAAAAGATAATTTTCTTAAGGAACATATAACGTATCAAGTCTGTTTGAAATTAATGAAACTCAAGTAAAGGTTACTGTAGTTTACCCCAGTCGTAATGTTGCTATTCCAACACCTCACGACAAGCAATCCCCATTGGCATAACGGAAAAACATCTCTTCCTTCAAGTAAACAATAAACAGTCTGTTCTTGTTCCATTTATAATCGAAAAAAGTGATCAATTTTCGAATTTTGAGCTTATCGATAGCCTTTGTCTTTGTGATGAATCACTGACCTAATTATAGAATCCAACAGCAAACAGCCAATCAGAATGCCGCGTTCGTGGGCGAACGCGGAAAGTACAAAATACCGGGCCTTGCTTGCAGGCCCACTATCAGTTCCCTTGGGCCTGCACGCGGGCTACGTCAATATCTAACACTGAATCAGAATTTGAGGTAGAAGCACCAGACAAAACATTTGAGACAAGGGTGTTGGCACTCGCGTCTTCCCTTCGATATGTTCGCACACCTTCAATGGATCGATGACCGCTTCTTTTCATGATAGATTTTTCCGGCACACCAGCATCATACAAACGCGTTATTGATATAGCTCGTCCAGAGAGATTAGTGTAATTTCCCGCTAAGCCAGATCTTTGCACATTTCTTTAAATCGTTTCTCCAGCATATTCAACCGAATTGGTCTGGCTTCAAACCACAGGTTATCGCTGTAAGACCATTTTCGTTTAGGTTGCAAGTAAAACGGGCCATCAGCCGGCATGTCGGGACTGAAAATATAAAAAAAGTATTAGACGTAATTAGTGTAACAAGCATAGTATATATTACAATAATGAAGTATATAACTCTATATTAAGGATAGAAATTACTTACCACTTTAAAACATAAAAATGATAAATGAAACTCAAAGGCTCTTCGTGTAGAGGGTCCTCAAGTGAAATTGATCATGCATGCGTCAATTCTCGCTGCTCTTTGCCACCAATCTTTCCCGTTAAGAATACTAACGTATTAATGACACTAGTCGGACAACTTGTACCCAAATTCCCAAAATGCCATCATTCCACATTACCCTTTCATCGCTAACCGTCGCTGCATCTGCTCTCTTCTTCATTTAGACTTGCTCCAAGTCTCTCTTTCATTGTCATATAGTATCGATCCACTATAGTGTATATACATGACGTAGCACGGAGAGGCGGAGCGAGAAAGAGAGACTTGTCAACTTCGGAAAATCTCGGTTCAAAACTGAACCGAAAATGCAAGACTTGCTTTAATTGTTTTCCTTCAATTTCTTTCTGTATTATTTACTATAATGGATTCATGTTATTTACACTGTGCTAGATCAATACATATAAACACTGACAGAAAACAATTAGAGCAAGTCTTGCATTTTCGGTTCAGTTTTGAACAGAGGTTTTCCGAAGTTGACAAGTCTCTCTTTCTCACTCCGCCTCTCCGTGCTACGTCATTTAAATATTAAACCACAAAATAAACTATACACGACTTCAGGGCGGTATTCTTTACCGTTTTTCTTCCGTACTTCTAGCGTTAATCGGCTAAACCAGTGATTAATTTCGTCAACGCTCATCTCCTGCAAATCTGGCACACGCTTGAATACTTCACTCTCGGCTTCAAAATCACGAAACTCGGTATTTCTTGCCTTTGCCCATGCTTTATAAACATTCGTGCTCCACCTAGTGTGTTTGATAGTATTCTCAGGCGTTCTGTTATCTCTAACTTTCTGAACATCGGTTTCCATAACAAACGAGAAACGTTTATCCGCCATATCATTCTTAGTGAGTGTCCAAAAACAAGACTTGAGTTGAGTTAAAAAGTAACTCATTTTATATGCATGCATGCACATGCATGCACCCGGCACTGACACACGTATATTAAGAATTGTTTATTCCCAAACGAATTTCCGACAATGGAAAATTGTTGTTTACATCATTGATTATGCATTCATTGTATTACAGAATACTCGTACTATCAATTATCTATTGCATGTACAGAATGTCCCAAAAAAAAGTGACACTATAGAAATTATCTCATTGTTCTTATGCCGCTCTTAAACGCGCGTGATTACACGCCTGGGAATTTAATGAACTTGTATTTACATTTAAGCATTTTAAAACGTTTTCGCTTTGTCCAAATATTTTAACGCCCGAGTCAAGCAAAACGATTACGCTAATAAACGGTTTGCTTTTTTATTTTAAATTCCAGAAGCATAAGTTTATGCATCTGTGGGATCAACTTAGTGCTAGGGCATTCAAATTATAACAATACAATAATTTCTATAGTGTCACTTTTTTTTGGGACACCCTGTAGTACTAGCATGCAAGTTCCTTTCAATTATGAAGGGGGTTTGGGGTATGTATATTAACTAGAATGACTGATATAATGACTTGCTAGTACTACATGCAATAGATATTAATAGTCGTCATACGAGACAAGGTATGAAAAGAAAAATTCAAGACAATATAAAATAACGACTATATTAATTAAAATTATCAAAGCCGATCGATTCCGGTGGCTTTGAGAATACAAATGCGAACACATATACGTTTAGGATTTATTATAATACATACTGACATGAGCTTCATGCATCAATAGCCAAAGCACAAACGATTCTGCTTTTCACTGTGTCTAGTGTCTTCAACAATGACTCTGCCTGGTGTGCCATATAATACAGAATATTTCCCTTCCGGCCAATCTCAATTCAACCTAATAATGACACAGCACTGACTCCAGTTGTGAGATTGACCAAAACATCCTTCTTTTCGTTTACAATGAAATGAAAAGCGTTTTGCTGATACGGATTAAAACTTTCAAATTCAAAAATACTACAGACTTGTTGATATAAATAGCCCTTGCGTGTGAAGGTCAGTGAAGGTCGATTCCCAGTTATTGTGTACATGATTGTGATTGGTTAATTGCCGGGAAGTTAGATGTATAGCGAATGTGAACAGACGTTAGGAGAGGTCTCGGCCACTAACAACGTCTGCGCAGGAGGCTAATTTATAGGCTAATTTATAGGCTAATTTATATTTTAACTACGCACAGTGGCATAGCTAGGGGATTCTGCTCCAGATCAAGCGGACTAAGGTAATCAGTTGACTAAGATAATCCCAAAACATCAGGCCCCACTCGGTGGGGCAGTGCCCCCCCAGCCCCCCCCCCACTCGGAAATAAGAATTGAAAGTACCCCCCCCTTACGTTTTGCAGAACTAATAGCTGTTAATGTTGGGTTTTTTTTGGCTAATTACCGAAATTTGGTATGAAAAATTGAGATAAAGGACCTGGAAACCAATTGCAATCATGGGAAAAATTCTGAAAATTTGGTGGTTAAGTGATGTTTCGAAAATTTTTGTTAGGTTTCGGAAAAAGGTTACGGGCTGTTAGGTTACGGGCTTGCAAAACATTCCAATGGGCGACGTGCGACATGTGAAGACATTTCACTACTCGCAATGGTTTAAAACGGTTCTTCCTTTTTGAAACATGCAATAACAATTAAAAATAAGGTTTTTTAATACTGCATGGATCATCTAATGTTCAAAACATTTTAAGAGATGATGTCATCCGGGGTGCAACTGTTGGGAATGCATGAGGGGTGACACCCCCACCCCCAAAAATTAAAAACGGTATGATATACTTGGGCAAATTTTGCCTAGTGTTGGGCAGTTGGACTGAGTATTGTCGAAAACTGTCATATAATAATATATTATGTTTTGTTACGCGTCGGACGCGCGAGTCCGAACTGAACTCTGTCGGAAAGTTCCGGAATATACCGGTAGTTGTTATTGTGATTTTGAGAACAATTTTGAGACAGCGTGTTGTGAGAGATTTATAGTGCGTATAAATGTTATTAAAACTACAGATTTGTGTGATTTATCGCTCGTACATGAGCAAGAACCTGTGAAAATATTGGCATTTATATAAGGTCACGAACGACACGACCGCGGGAAACGAAACCTGTCTTAAAAAAGCATTAAAACTGGTGATTATTCTACTGATTTCTTGTAAATTAACGGAGATATGGAGTCAAAAGTGAAGGAGCTTGAAGGGAAATTGCGAACACTCGAATTTACCGTGAAAAGAAGCGACGAAGTGATTAAAACGAACAGTAGCGAAGCGATATCCAGACACGAAAATTCGATAATAGCAAAGGTCAATGCATGTCACAGCTTAAAGGACAGTATTGAGGAAGAAAAATTCGTAAAAGAGGAGACTGAGGAGCAAATAACTGAGTGGGTAAGTGCTATTGAGGAAAAATTAAATGCTGCTGACGAAAAAGTTTTAGAACTGCGACAAATTCAAGACGAAATTGTGCGAAAAACGCAAGCGATTGAGAAAGCCGAAGCCGTTAAAAAGGAACTCATGTTTCAGCAAGAAAAACACGAACAAAAATTACGTCAAGAGCACGAGCTATTCGAACAACAACTAAAATTTCAAAAGGCACTAGAAGCAAATCGACCGAGCGAAGCGAAAGCGAGTTCAAGTTCAACGAAGCTACCTAAGCTTTCTATAACAAAATTTGATGGGAAATATGAAAACTGGTTGCCATTTTGGAACAAATTCAAGGCGGAAATTGATAGCACTGATCTTTCTCCGGTGACAAAGTTCGCATATTTGAAAGAACTCGTAGAACCAAGAATAAGAACGGATATTGATAGGCTACCCCTAACTACAGAAGGTTACAGTCGAGCGAAGGCAATCTTGTCTGGCGAATATGGGAAAACAAGCGAAATTGTTAATGCATACGTGCAGAATATTTTGGAGTTACCTGTTGTCAAGGATGCCAACCCAAATGAAGTAGATAAATTTTACAAAACTTTATTATATAACGTACAGTCTTTAGAGACTCTAGGATGGGGTTAATGGGATGACAAGAAGTGTAATCGATAAACTACCGGGTATAAAAAGCGATATTGTGAGAGGGCACGAAGGTTGGCAGGATTGGGGCTTAGCGCAACTTGTTAAGGAAATGAAAGTATGGAGAGACATTAATCCATGTAATGAGGAGAGTAGTAAAGAGAAAGGGAGACGTAAGGATAGATCAGACAAAGTCTTTAACACTGGTGCAAGGAAACACAGTTGTGTATATTGTGAAGACAGCAATCACAAGTCACGTGAGTGTACACGTGTTGTCGATGTGAATGAGAGGAAGAAAATCCTAGCAACTAAACGGTTGTGTTTTAATTGCACAGGAGCACGACATCGAGCTTCTGAATGTAGAAGCACTTCTGGGTGCCAGCGGTGCAAGCAAAAACACCATACATCAATCTGTATGATGAAAGATAAGCTATTAGCTACTGAGCAAGGTAGCAAACCAGTCGTGTATCCAATAGTAAATGTTAACGTAGAGGGAATCGAGTGTCGTGCCCTATTGGATACCGGAGCCGGAAGCTCTTATGCTTCAGCAGCCCTGTTAGACCGACTTCCAAAACGGTCACAATTAAAGGAAGTGCGTAAAATTGAGATGATGCTTGGCTCCACAACTCGTGAAGTTAGTTTGTCCACAATCAATGTTGCATCTGTTGACGGTGAAGAGAAATTACAAGTGGAAGTTACGAGAGTCGAACGGGGAAAACTGTTTACGATTGACAATCCACATTATTCAGAGATAATTCAGTCATTTAAGCATCTTGAAGGAGTCGTCACAGTGGATAATGATCCCAAACCATTTTTGCCAGTCCACCTGATTCTCGGGGCGAGTGATTATGCAGCAATAAAGACGGCAGAACCACCACGTGTCGGTCAGCTGGGAGAGCCTGTGGCAGAGAGAACTAAGTTCGGGTGGACTATAATGTCTTCAGGGAAGGAGTTGGATCATTCGAAGATGTTGTTAACCCAGACTAGCCATACCGACTATGACGATTTGTGTCGGTTAGATATACTTGGCCTGGAAGATAGACCCGAGCACGATCAACAGACGGTGCATGCTGAGTTCCGTGAACAGCTTATACGCGATCCAGAGGGATGGTATGAAACCGGATTATTGTGGAAGAAGAACCACCCACCATTACCTAGCAACAAGGAAGGCAGCCTACGCCGACTTGATCGCTTATATAACAAATTAGAGAAACTGGAAGTCACTCGTGAATACAACAAGGTAATCGAGCAACAAAAGGAAGAGGGAATAGTGGAGTTGGCCGATGAACTCCCTACATCCAAGGAGTTTTACCTTCCCCACAAGCCTGTTGTGCGAACAGGCGCAGAATCGACAAAGCTTCGTGTGGTGTATGATGGATCTGCTCGAGAAAACCCACAATCCCCTAGTCTCAACGAGTGTTTATATGCCGGACCTCCGCTCCAGAACAAGCTGTGGAACGTCCTGACACGAATGCGGTTTCATCCAGTTGCATTGTCTGGCGACCTGAAACAAGCCTTTCTACAAGTGAGGATTAAGAAAGAGGAAAGAGATTCCCTGAGATTCTTCTGGAAGCCAAATGAACATTCTTTAACAGAAACACTCAGATTTACAAGAGCACTTTTTGGCTTAACCTGTTCACCCTTCCTCCTTGCAGCAGTCGTGGAACATCACCTGGACAGTTGGGAAGCCCAAGAACCAGAGCTAGTTGCTGACATACGACGAAGTCTTTATGTTGATGATATGTTAAGTGGGAAACCAACAGTTGCCAGTGAAATGGAGCTAAAGGAAGGTGCCATAAAGATCTTCGAAGATGCCAAGTTTACACCTTGCATAAATGGCACTCAAACGAACCACAGCTAGAAGATAACAAACTGAAAACTGAATGCGAAAAGAGTGTAGTGGAACCGGAACGGGACTTCAACGAAGTGGAAGCTGAACCTGATCAAACCTTTGCAAAACAGCAGCTAACCAGATTTAACCAGTCCCAATCAAGCCTGCTTGGTCTAACGTGGAACAAGCAAGAAGATGAAATCAGCATAGTGATTCCCAAAATGGAAACATCTGTAACGAAGAGAGAACTCTTGCGAAATCTTGCGAGAATATATGACCCACTTGGACTAGTTTCGCCTGTCACTCTCAAAGGGAAACATATCTACCGTGAGGCTTGTAAACAGAAAGTACCATGGGATGTGAAGATTTCAGAACCACTATCTGGTGAATACCAACAATGGGTGAAAGAACTCCCTGAGCAAGTGACTGTCCCTAGATCCATAGCAGTTCATCAGGAAATCGTAGACGAAGTCGAGCTACATGCGTTCGGTGACGCAAGCAAAAAGGGAGTTTCTGCTGCGGTGTATGCCATTACGAAGCAAGAGTCGGGTGTTAACGTTGGTTTAGTTGCTGCTAAAGCACGGTTAGCAAAACAGGATCTCACCATACCTCGATTGGAACTTGTGTCGGCTCACATGGCCGCGAATCTTGTATCCAATGTCCAACAAGCAATTGATGATGTCCCAGTGATAAGTGTATTCGGTTGGCTTGATAGCACAGTTGCATTACAGTGGTTACGAGGCGGTGGACAGTATAAACAATTTGTAGCAAACCGGGTCAAGAAGATCCAAGAGCATCCTGAATCACCTGGCGCCATGTACCTACAAATGATAACCCAGCAGACCTGGGAAGCAGGGGAGGCAAAGTATCGGGAAATCGCGTTTGGTGGAACGGCCCAGAATGGTTGGTGAACCCAGGTCAATGGCCTCCAGATATTGTTACGGCAGCTACTCCCGAAAGCGAGTCTAAAGCAATAGCAGTGAAAGAACTTTTCAGTGCAGCCGTGGTTTCGAGAGATGAGTTTGACGACCTTCTTGCAAAGTTTTCATTGACGAAAGCCATCAGAGTTATCGCCTGGGTGCATCGATTCGTGTTCAACTGCAGAGCCGAAAAAGAAAACCGTCACAAAGGACCGTTAATAACTGAAGAAATCAACAACGAACACGCGTTCTGGGTAAAACGAGCTCAATCAAACCAAAATAACCAAGCAACCGAAGACAAGCTACGGCTTAATGTGAAGACGAACGAAGGAGACGGAGTGATGTATTGTAACGGTCGATTGCAAGGAGAATACCCAATATATCTACCCGATGATCATCTCTACACCAAAAGATTGGTCCAAGATGCTCATGAGCGCAGCTTACACGGGGGAGTTGGTTTGACTATGACAAAAATTAGAGAGCGATATTGGGTGCCTAGGCTGAGACAGTTGGTGAAGAAAGTAATGAAGAAATGTTTCGGGTGTCGACGATTCCACGCCAAACGAGTCGCAAGACGACCAGTGGGAAACTTACCGCGTGATCGTACCCAAGGTAACCCGTCCATTCCAAGTCGTGGAAGTAGATTTTGCTGGACCGATAAAATATCGTGTGACAAAGAAAACACAAGGAAAAGCGTATATGACATTGTTCGCGTGTAGTCTGTGTCGAGCAATCTATTTGGAGCTGACGAAAACGATGGAAACAGGTGAATTTCTGCAAACACTGAAACGGCTCATAGCAAGAAAAGGGAGACCTGAGAAGATTTTCTCGGATAACGCAGGAACGTTTGCAGCTGCATCAACATGGTTAAAGAAGGTACAATCTGATGAGCAATTCCACAACCAATTGGCGAACGAGAGAATTCATTGGCAGTTCAACTTGAGTCGCGCCCCTTGGTGGGGCGGGCAATTCGAACGACTCGTCGGACTAGTAAAACGCGTGTTATGCAAGTCAATTGGAAACAGCTGTTTAACTTGGAGGGAGTTGCAAGACGTACTGCTAGACATCGAAGTGACTTTAAACAATCGCCCATTGGGATATCAGGAAGATGACATAGAGTTACCTACACTGACGCCAAATAGTTTACAGTTCGTTGGCACTACCGTATTACCTGAGTTGGAACCTCACCATGAAGAAAATCGAGACCTCAGAAAACGAGCGAGATATCTCAAAACATGCAAAGATCATATGTGGAAAAGGTGGAGTACCGAGTATCTACGAGCGTTACGAGAGAAGCACAACATGAAACACCATGGGAAGCCGTCTAGGTTGTCTGTCGGAGAAGTTGTAATCATCGCTTCTGATGAAAGAAACCGAGGAAAATGGCCATTGGGAATAGTTGAAGAACTCTTTCCGGGGAGAGATGGTGTCATCCGTGCAGCAAAGGTGAAAACGTCAAATGGTCACTTGGAGAGAGCGGTTAATTACCTGTACCCTCTAGAGTTGTCGTGCAATCAGCGTCAAGAGGACCCTCCACCCCTTAACCCAACAGATCCTGTTTTCCGACCAACTCGAGACGCGGCGGTGGCAGCGCGTTCCAAAATCCAGGAAATGGCCGAAATCGAAAATGAAGAACAAGTGTAAACATTGAGACATTAGAACTTGATAATTTACAGTAAAAGTTTCCTTGAGAACATATATCCTTTACAAGCTATATGGGGGGAGGGTGTCGAAAACTGTCATTATATATTATGTTTTGTTACGCGTGGGACGCGCGAGTCCGAACTGAACTCTGTCGGAAAGTTCCGGAATATACCGGTAGTTGTTATTGTGATTGTGAAACAATTTTGAGACAGCGTGTTGTGAGAGATTTATAGTGCGTATAAACGTTATTAAAACTAAAGAAAACTAATACTTATTGTGTTGAGAACTATCAGGGGGCAATTCTCGACACCCTTTAAGAGTCCTGCGATCGAAGAGCTGGGGTTGACCAAAAGAATTTACTGAAAGTGTACCTGTGCACAGTAAGACCGGTACTTGAGTACGCCGTCCCTATTTGGCAAAACATTCCGGATTATCTATCGAAGGAAATTGAGTCGGTCCAAAAACGAGCACTAAAGATAATTTTCTCGGAGAGCGAGTCATATGGGGAGGCCCTGAATTTTGCACGACTACCAACTTTAACCACAAGAAGAGTGCAAATATGTCAGAAATACATGGTCAGAATGAGGCGAGAAAACCATCCCTTATTGCCAATCCCTGTTGTTCCTGACCATGACATTAATTTGAGACAGAACACTGATCGACTTTATCTATTTAATGTTACTGATTGCAGAACAATTAAAGCTCAATCCTTTTTTACATTTAAATACTCTTAATATGTTGTTCCTGACCATGATATTAATTTGAGTCAGAACACTGATCGATTTTATCTATTTAATAATATTACTGATTGCAGAACAATTAAAGCCCAATCCTTTTTTACATTTAAATACTCTTAATATGTTAAGATTTTTTTTAATATATATGAAAATTGTAAATAATTATGCATGCACTATTTACTATTTTGGTAAATGCCTATAATGATTTTAACTCTTGTAAATAGCCTAGATTCTAAAGCATATCCATGTACTATTTTATAACATATTCTTATCTATTGTAAAGTGCTCGTTAATTCAGTTGTTTCTGTAACTGCAAGAGAGTCCTAATAAACTATTATTATTATTATTATTATTTCCAGTATATGTTATTTCACAACAACAGATAAAATTTTTATCACTTACCGAACGTAGACTTCAGAGTCGCGTGTCCTCAATTCCGTGTCTTGATATTCCAACAACAACATACATCGCTGATCAATCGGGAGACTTGTGGTTAGTAGATCAAAATGGTACAGCAACTCCGGTAAATTATTCAAAGATTTTTCTGCCGGCCTTTTCAAATTCCATTTTACGGCTGGGCACTTTGACACACATTTGCTACAGTCCATTTCTGAGCCATTTGAAACATTCTCGCTTTTGGATGTACTTGCGCGCGCACAAGAGACCTTGGAACATTTAGAGAACATTCGTGCGGCGGACGAAGACAATAATGTTGCGCTAGGTATAAGAAAAATCATAGGCATTACATTATCCGGCCTATCTTCAGGCGGCAGCCATATTATAAAAGCAGTAGGTACGGCACTGCATGGCGGCTTGACTGGCCTCGGCAATTTAGATGAAAAAGTCGTCACAAGTTTAGGAAAAGCCACAGGAAACATTATAGACTCGTCTGGCCGCGCTTTTGCCATGTTTCCCGAGGTGCAGGAGGATTTTTCCACGATGTATTGGGAGGTTTAAGTGGTTCCTTGCTCTGGGGCGCACTCGTACTATTGACATTATTTTGTATATACCAATACATACGTAACCAACGTAACTGTTGTCAGCAGCCTGACACACTATCTGACATAAGCAAAGACGATATAGATGACGATCAAACTGAGTTACAAGACATGACTGAACAGGAGGAATGTGTAGATTGTGGTTTACCCCGCTGCCCATCCATTTCTCACCAGTTACCCCAGGCATCGTCAGTTTAAGATGGCAAGCAGTTTCGCATCTGTCTTCATGTATATAAAGTTCTTCTTTTCGTCTATATATTGTGTTACGTTCATTAACCTATATTTATTATTTGTAGATTACCCCTGAGGTGCATTTAGGCATAAGTATTATATTTCTTGTATAATCTCTTATGTAGTGTTAACATATATAATTAGTCATTAACACGTACTATATGTATGGACTCAGTTATTAGGCATTCGGTAATATGCCCGTGTTAAGCCACGCAAAGCTTAAAACAATATGAACAATATATCTTCATGTATTTTTATATATCTCAAAAGCTGAGGGCAGCTTAATCCAGGCGGGAAGGATTGTTACGAAAGTATATCTAAATAGTATAAAAATAGTTCAATTTGCACCCCAGGTAATTATAGATACTAGTTACGTCAAATGGAGAGATAATGCGCATTTTTGCTGTAAAACGCAGATAAAGTATATATCATTTCGGACTTGTGTAAAAGTGTCAATTATCTGTCCATTAGGCAAGATAAATTATTTGTCAAACTGTCAAAGTTCGACGATAGCCTTGCATGGTGGGCTTTTGTGTTTACATAATTCAAAGTCCAAGGCTGGTTCTTCTCTGACACGAAAATGTGCATGCTTAGGGCCTTTCTGTCAATCATTCTTCGGTATATTTCGCGCGGTTGAGTAATGATAACATTACGTCATCAAAATCTTGGTTCAATAAAATTGTAAGTGAATTTAGTTTAGTAGGTAAAGTAATTTTCACATAGGTATAGTTTGAAGTTTTTACTATGATATTTCAATGAGTGTTTTAAGTTGTGAACATGTTTTAATGATGATCGATTGAACAGCGAACCAACTCGACCAGTGCGACAACGCCTTAAATAAACAGAATGTGAGAGCTGGAACGAGCTAGCAACGCCAACCCACACTTTTAAAACTCAACGTTGATTGGCTGGATACAAATCACACCACTTGCTACATCACGTGTACAAAGATCCCTCAACCGTTAGTATAAAAGGGCGTGCACAACCCAAAATCGTCAGTGGACTCAACGAAGTAAAAATTATGTATGAAAAGTTGTAGAAAGCTCAAACGAAACAAGACAAAACGAAGAAATTAACGAACAGATCACGAACAGTGAAAGCCAGTTGAAGGCTGAAGTTAACTCTTGGAAAACTACTGCAAGAAGACGAGCATTAAGAACTGATGGTTATTTAAGATTGTTGTAAACGATTCCCTACCTCGCGTAGAAAAAGAAATAAAATATACATTTCTAACACATGCATTTTGTATAAAACCGAGGCATGACGTTTTTGTAATCACAAAATATAAATTATGTTTGATATACTGTTTATAACTGTGTCAGTTAATGGACAACTAAGCGTGGATTATACATGTAAAATTGGCAAAATATAGGTAATTACTGGCTATGACTTCTTGGTATTAATTTGAAAAATGTTTGTTAAAATTCGTCCCGTGGGAGTTAGTACTATCGTCGGATGTTTTCGCAAAATGCCCGTTCAAATTTCAGTTTTTATAGTGGTATGTTTGGAGTTTCGGCCCTGCTCATTTAGGCCTACTCTGGGGCGGTAAATCGCCTTAAATTATTATTATTATTATTATTATTATTATTATTTAAAAATATTTTAAAACGGTAGCTCTTCAGGGCTCGTAGGCACCTGTTTTTCAAGAGGCCGTTTATTACAGTATTTACAAGCTATATAAATATAATAACACAAATATACACATAAAAACAGAGAAAACATAACGAACTTAATAATTGCATGCACTACATTTGTATCTAAAAATATCCTATCCTATTTAAATATTTACAAAGTTACCAAAAGGAATCAAGTGCCGTCAAGAATACGTTTAAGTTTGTTAAGGCTAATGCCTTTTTCTTTTGCTGTAGTTGATAAGTCATTCCAAAGGGATGCAGCTGAATAACTGAAGCTCTTTTTCATAAAATTTGTTTCAGGTTTTCCAAGATCATAGTTGTTATTGTTACTTCTTAAATCATATCTGTCATTTATTTTAATTTTGAACATGTTGCAAATTGATGATGGCATTTTTTCGTTTCGTATTCTGTGCATAAAAATCGATTTATTGGTTTTATAGCGTTGGTCTAAAGGTTGCCAGTCTCATTCTTTTAAAACATCCTCAGAACTAACTTCATAAGTTTTACCAGTGATGATTCGGGCCGCTCTGTTTTGTAATTTCTGAAGTCTGTTTTTTTAAGTAATCACAACAGTTATCCCAAACCAAGCTACAATAATCAAAATGTGATAGCACAATGGTATTATATATTTTTACTAAGGTTGATTTGGGAACAAACTGTTTTATTCGTCGCATCATTCCTATTCCTTTTGAAGCTTTTGTGACAATATTTTGGATTTGATGATTCCATAAAAGATGTTCATCAATAATTACGCCTAAATTTTTTGATTTGTGAACCCGTTTAATGACTGATTCACCAAGCTCAATTTTAGGGTCCGTTAGTACTAATTTTGAAATTCGTTGTCTTGAACCAATAATCATGTATTCAGTTTTATCTTTGTTAAGTGTAAGTTCGTTTGCAAGTAACCATTGGTGTATATTTTCTAAGTCCACGTTAATGCGTTCTTGTAGTTCGTCATTTGTTTTGCCATTGGTTGAAACATTTGTGTCATCGGCAAACATGCTTGCTGAAGATGAGGTCAGGCAGTTTGGCAGGTCGTTTATATATAATAAGAAAATAAGTGGCCCAAGATTAGAACCTTGGGGTATTCCAAATTTAACTGTTCTTGTCTTGGACATTGTTTGATCTACCTTACATATTTGAATCCTGCTAGAAAGATAGGACTGGTACCAAGCAAGAGTATGACCTCTTATTCCATTACAATTCATTTTTTTTAACAATATATTATGATCAACACAGTCAAACGCTTTCTTGAGATCTAAAAAAATCACTCCATTTAACAAACCCTTATCCATATTCATTAGCCATTGATTCGTGATGTTAAGTAGAGAAGTTTGTGTAGAGTGATTTTTCCTAAATCCTGCTTGTTGTTCTGCAAGAATGTGATTAGTTTCAAGATAAATTTCTAGTTGCTCTGTAACTAATTTCTCATATATTTTAGCAACTGAGGATAGAACCGAGATTGGTCTATAATTATCGCAATTAGTTTTGCTTCCAGCCTTATGAATTGGAGAAATGATAGCAATCTTGAAGTCTTCAGGAAATATACCAGTGTTTATAGATGCGTTAAAGATTGCTGACAGGGATGGTGCTATTACTTCAGCAGCGTCTCTTAGACGTTTACCGTGTATTCTGTCATGCCCTGCTGATTTGGATGTTTTAATTGTAGAGAGCAACTTATATTTATTTATTTATTTATTTATTTATTTATTTATTAAACTTTGCCAAAAACACTTAACAGAACAGCAAATAGACATCTACACAATAAACATGGACAAAAATGGCAGGGACACCACAACAGTGTAAACCAATTACTGTGGACCCTATACAAAAATACACATACAGTACAGAATATATAACATACAGTACATGGACAGGAGACTAAAAACAACAAGTTAGTTCAGAACGTAAGTAACGACTAGTGTTACAATTCAGACAAATAGTCTTCCATGTCCTCGGATTTTCTTCGTCGAAGCATTCTCTCAGGGCTGTCAGGTAGTAAGTTTGTAAATCGGTTTTGAATTGCCTAATATTAATGTCAGGAGATCTTAGTGTAGTTGGTAAAGAGTTCCAAGTTCTGGATGCACGAATAAAGAAGGAGCGTTGGTAGGTAGAGGTTTTGCATTTGGCCGGACGGAAGGAGATTTGGTTGCCACTGGAGGATCTGGTCGTTCTGGGACATGACTTCGGGGAGGACGTCATGAGACACGTTGACCAAGCCGTTCACCGCTTTAAAAAAGAACACGAGATCCAAATATTCATGCCAGTAAGATAGCGGTAAGAGGCCCAAACTGGCAAGTCGTTCCGGATAAGTCTCACTGCACAAGTACGGAAGGTTTAAAATGTACTTCGTTGCTCTTCTTTGGACCCGTTCCATACGTTGGATGAGGGTTACGGTTTGAGGCGACCAAACCTGGCTCGAGTAACCAAAAACCGACCGAACCAAAGACAGATACAGAGTCCGGCGGGTCCTCGCGTCGCTTATTTCCCCCAGAACATCGCTTTATAAATCCAAGGAGTTTGTTGGCACGGGTACACCGGTCTAAAATGTGTTTAGACCAGGTTAGATCGCTCGCAATCCAAATTCCCAGATCGTTCTCTGCTGGTGTAAGTGCAAGTTCTTTGCCTTTGATGCTATATAGATGATGGATTGGTTGAATACGTCTGGTAATGCTAATACTTTTGGATTTTTCTTCGTTAAACACGAGACCGCTTGACGTGGACCAGGATTGAAGGTTATTGATGTCGTCCTGGAGTAACATAGCATCGATGATGGAGTCAATTCTACGGAAGATTTTGGTGTCGTCTGCAAAACACGCAACTGTCGAGTTCGTCACAGCGTCTGGTAAATTATTCACATACAGGAGGAAGAGTATACCTTAGTTAATGAAACATTTTGTATCGTAAATTGTGTATCGGACCTAGTCACTTATGACTCAAATGTCCTTGAGCTCTGTGGCATGTTATTAACCAAACGAGATGCAACTTCGTTGAAATGTGAATTTAAAGCATCTGCAATTTCATGTTTTTTAGTCAAATTTTGATTATCGTTCTGGATTTCAGATATAACAGTTGTTTTTGACTGTTTGATTGTAAGTTTATTAATTGTTTTCCACATTTTCTTTGGGTTGTTATCACAGTCATTTAAAGTATTTGTAAAGTAAATTGCTTTTGTATTCTTAATCTATTCAAATCATTTCGTGTGCGTTTATAAGCATCATGGAAATGTTTTGATCCTGTCTTAACCGCTTTTTTCTTTAAAAAGTCTCTTCGACGCATAGTTTGTTTAATATTTTCTGTAATCCATGGCGCGTACTCGCTTCTAACTTTTTTTGTTCTTTCTGGTGCATGAAAATCTGCAACCGACAGAAATATTGTTTTCCAATTTTCCCACATAATATTTGGATCAAGCATTGTATCACAGAATACTTGATCATATAAGTATGTGGAAAGGTCTGATTTAAAGTTGTTTGAGTTGTAATGTTTGAAATTTCTTGATTTAATCACTTTTGGCTCTTTACGGGGAACGGAAATTTTTCTCTGTATATAGATTAAGCTGTGATCACTTATCCCCAGATGGATGACACCCGAGCCATTTATCAATTCCGGTTTATTGGTGAATGCTAGATCTATTAAAGTTTTACTATTAGCTGTAATTCGCGTTGGTTCACTAATTAATTGTTGAAATTGGAATGTCTATGCAATTCCAGCAAGCTTGTTTGTCTGAGCGTTAGCGCTGTTACAATCCAAGCGAGACCAATCGCAGTTGTAATCTCCAAGTAAGATTATTTCCTTGTTTTCAGAGTCCATTCGAGTAATTAAATCCTCGAATGCATTGAATATTTCAAGTGTTGTATTGGATGGTTTATACCAACTATTAATTAAGAATGGTTTGGATTTTGGTTTTGAAATTTCAAGTGTAATTGTTTCGAGATTATCGTCAGTTAAATCGTCTCTTATTATGAAGTTTATTGAGGTTCTTATGTATATTGCGACTCCACCACCATGCCTATTCCTGTCTTTTCTCACAATATCATAACCATTAATTTTGATCTCTTGATTTGAGACAGACAGGTCAAGCATGGTTTCGTTAACGCTAATTATTTCAAATTGTTGTTTATAAAGATACAGCCTTAGTTCATCGATATGCTTGATTAGGCTTCGTACATTTAAATGAGCGATCTTGAATCCCTTTAATCGATCAGTATGCTTATTACTATCAGTATTCTTGACCGCGGCTTGATTTCAATTTAAGGATTGATTTTTTAAAAACTGTTTTATGTTTCTTGCCAGTGCAGTTGTTCCTCTTTGGTTTAAGTGCAAACCATAGCTATTTAAATGAGTCTTAGTGATACTTTTATGTGTAATAAATCCCCAATTGCGTTCAGTACATAGATTGTCTAATTTATTATTGTAAATGTTTACCTTATCAGCAACTTGCAAATCGTCGATTCTTGTGATGACTTCCGACAGCGTAAGTTCAATACCACTTATTTCTTGCGTTATAGCCTCTCCAAGTTTTGTTACAGCTTTAATTAACGCATCTGGCGATTTCGTTTGCAGGTCATTGGTACCTATGTGCAGGATAATATGCTTTGGTTCCTTTTGGAGCGTCGGTTTAACATAGTGGGTCATTTCGTCAACACCAGCTCCAGGAAAGGTTTTTATTGATATCTTTTGGTCAATTCCTTGCTGAATTCGTCGGGGATTCAAATGTTTTAACATTGAATCCCCTAAGATTACAATGATAGGTTGCCTTTGTTTTGTCGCTTTGGGTTCGCTTTTATCTTTCCGTTCGTCCAAATTTGATTGACGATCTTGTATGTTTCCTTTGGATTGCTGGCGTCTTTCGATCTTTCGACTATTTTGCCCGCTTCGGCGTTGGTTTGGTTTGTCTCCGCTTTGCCTTGGCTTGTCTCCATGTTTGGCTGATATATCTGTGTTATGATGTCTAGCCTCTGAATGATCCAGATCCGATGCAGATTTGTTTACTTCTTCTTCGAACTGGTTCTTTGACTCATATGATATAGTTGTATTTGGTGTTATGGATACATTTTCGCTACGTTTTTTAACTTTTGCGAATTCTCGCTTTTTTCTGTTGCTCTTATCAGGTCTTCTTGTAGCGTTCTTGCGGCAGCTCTTAGATTCTTGTTCTCAGATTCCAGGTCTTGAATTTTCTTTTTTTCTGCTAGTGATACTGATTCTCGCTGAATTAGCTTCAGGGCAGTTATGAGACTCGATTTTTCGTCCTGAAGTTCTATAACCTTAGCTCTTACTTCAGACAGAGATTGAAATAAGTTCTTGTTTTTCTCCTTTAAGTCCTCTTTTTTCTCCTTTAAATCGCTTTAAATCGCCTAAAATCGCATTAAATCGCGGGTTAAAATTGTCGAATTTCTCTTAAATCTCCTAAAATCGCCTAAAATCGCTTAAAATCGCCAACATGCATTCTGTTTGATACATTCAGTCCATGTACTCAAGTTTATCAATTGCTGCTATTTTACGGGCAAATCATGTAATCCAGGTGCTTCGCAATCAAAAGTAATGCAACATGAATTAGCAATCAAATAAGTGGATTAGGCTAGGCTGACAATATTTGGTCACTCAATAGACACCGGTCATTGACAAAAACAGAGCCTTTTCCTGCTTTATGCAGACTTTACAATAATTAGGTAATTCTGGGATATGAAAGACCCATAGATCCCATACACTACCAGCAACAAAATTGAGCTAGTTACCAGAATGAGTTAATTTCATGATTGGTGTAAATGGAGGCTGGGCTACAATTTTATATGGACTATAGAGGCTGCACTGTACATTTCTGGGAGTTAATTTAACTCTAGTGGTATTATTTTCATCCTAATTTTACTCCACATTTGGAGTTAATTGAGGTACAGTATAACTCCACCGGAGTTAAATTAACTCCCCGAAATTAACAGTGTGGGCTACAAATTAACCTATAATCTACATGGCTTCTCAAAGCCTACTTGCTGTTAATTAGAACAACAGTAGGAGACTAGGAAAGTCAATTAGTACGAGTGTTGATTTATATAATAAAGTCATCCTGTAATTTGTGCACTGTTGCATGTAAGATCGAGCACTGCATTGTATACAATGGTTGTACTTCGACATGTGCATGGTTATACTCTAGCTCCTAGTTATAATTATAGTGGCTATCAAACGAAAAATATACGTGAGGTTATGAGCGATTTGCAACTCTCATTTATTACATTTTCCAGACCTGTATATACAATAAACAATAAAACAATGATTACATCGTACATACCATACAATAGATCTTTTGTTGTTGTTTGTTTGCAGAACCTAAAACCACCATTTGTTTAATATTGTATTATTTTGTTTTTCATTTTAAAATAATTTAGAAATTGGAATTCCTACCATTTATATACGATATACTTCATGTAATTTAAACATTACGGCATTACGCCGACAGTTTCCGAATGCGTGACGATACTGTTTCTGGATACTGGGATATGATCATAGGATATGATATAGATATCAAAAGTTTTATAAAACATGTTTGTAGCATGAAGAAAGCACGAGATTGAAACAGTTTAAATAAAATGCAAGCTAAGTAAAGACGTTTTGACATGATACAAAACAAGACAATTTCACTTACAAGGGCAGGTGACAAGGTAATTTATAGGATTATAGCTTATTCAGTTATACTGTATAAATACATAATTGTGTGTTTCTCAAGATTGTGGTTTTCAAGGAAATCAAATATTTATTATATTTTGCAATTTTAACTCGAGATAAATTAATGATATTAAAGTTTAATTAAGACATGTGTAGTGCATGCCCATTAAGTAGAGTATATTAACTGTTTACAATATTTGTGGTATATAATGTAGCCATAAATGACCACATGACCCCACAAGATGAACCCCAATGGCTTCTAAATAGAGAATGGATGAAATGTTCATGAATATTGAGCTTTATATGCGAATCAGGTTAAATACAATAATTAGTTAACCTAGCTTTATATAAAATGTACATACATGTTCTAATAATTGTATTTTGCTTCATACAATGCATATTTGTGTGGAAACATTACATTATTATTCAGCTCACTCCCCATATTGGGGCTTTTCAGTGACCGATTACATCTAGTACTATGATTACTAACTGTGTTTATATCCTAACCCACCCTGCCAATTTTGCCTTGTGGGAGGAAACCAGAGCAAAATATAAAATTCAATTCCTTTGAAAACACCTAAATTGCAGTCCCTAAAATTGAAATTTTTTTCTTAAATCGCATTAAATCGCCTAAAATCGCATTAAATCGCAGTGCTTGAAAGTCCCAGTTTTTTCTTAAATCGCCTAAAATCGCCCAAAATCGCATTATATCGCAGCGATTTAAGGCGATTTACCGCCCCAGAGTAGGCCTTCATTTCACCCGTAGAGTAGCCTGCGAACAGGTTCTCAAGCTGAATTGAGAGCCTGCATCGATGACTAATGAATTTGAATATCTGCCCCGTAACGTTCGTTTTTCCAAATATGGAATGTCTATCCTTATATGGTGTTGTTTACAACTTTCGTGCAAACTAAATTTAGACCGTGCAAACTAAATTTAGACTGTACAGTTCATACTGTTTTTCGAAATATAAGATATTCAGGCAAAAGTTCAAATGTTTTAAATACTGTTTTCTCAAAACAGAACATTTCGTGCTTTGAGATAAGACGGCCAAGACCAATTTGATCAGTTAATGTGTTTTTTTATGCATAACTCAGCAGTTGACATATATAGAGTTCAGCGGAAACATATAAATTATAGCATCTGACCAATGAGAATTTCGCGTCACGATTTGAGACGCAAGTATTCAAATTCATTAGTCATCGATGCAGGCTCTCAATTCAGCTTGAGAGCCTGTTCGCAGGCTACCCGTAGAGGGCTCATAATTTAAGTCATCTTTATTGTCATAAGTGCTGCTAGATAGTGGAGAAAACACTGCAAATTCTTGAGGAAACTTTATATCATATCCAAATACCACTTGAAAAAAAAACAAGTTTACATTACCTTCTTTTGAAACATCACATCCAAGTATCGTTTTTGCTTTTAGAACTCTTTTTATGCTTACCACTAAAGCAGATATAATTATTGGTAATGAATATTGGCTTCACTCCGGAATAGCTAGCAATGAAATATTCCCAGATAATTATAATATATTTAGGAAAGATAGAACTACCGACCGCCACGGGGGCGTTTTTCAGGCCGTAAAGAAAGATATCTTAGTTACTGAACGCTCGGAGTTTGATACAGATTGTGAAATCGTATGGACACAATGTCAAATTAAAAGCCGGAAATCAAAGTCTATTTTCTTTGCTTCATATTATCGGCCGAATATGACAGATATGGTTAGCCTTGATGAACTGAATAATTCGCTTTTCAAACTATCCGATAAACTGAACAATCACCATGTGGTATTGGCTGGAGATTTCAATGCACCTAATATCGATTGGAAAGATTATGCTCCAGTAAAGGCTTCTGTTCATTCTGATAGATTGCTCGAAATTATAAACGAACATGGACTTAACCAAATGGTTAAAGAGCCAACAAGGAGTCAGGGAGAAACACACAATATACTAGACATGATCTTTACGAATAACGAAAACATTATCAACAACGTCAAAGTACTCCCGGGAATTAGCGACCATGATATTGTTTATATCCAGGTTAATTTAAACTGTAAAAAGAAAAGGCATGTGAAGCGAAAAATATTCATCCGGAAGCGGGCAGACAAAGAACTAATACAGCAAAAGCTACGTGAGTTGGCTAATAACTTTGAGTGTTCAGTGAAGCAGGAGTCCCTTGATACTAAGTGGGATGCGTTTCAACAAGGTATTCAAAACATAATGAATTCTTGCATACCATGCAAATACACATCATCTCGTTATAATCTGCCCTGGTTTAATCGTGCACTTAGGAGACAAACCCGAATCAAACAAAAGTTATATAACAAAGCTAAAAAGTCGGGAAAAAAAACTGCCTGGTCTAAGTTTAAGACGGCTAAGAAACAACTGAGTAAGAACTTGAAAAGAGCTAGGGATACATATTTGTCTGGTTATTTAACTGATACTATGCAAGAAAATCCTAAGGCCTTTTGGTCCTATATTAAGA